GGGTGGCCTCTCCCGTTGCGGAGCACAGGCTCCGGACGCGCGGGCTCAGCGGCCATGGCTCGCGGGCCCAGCCGCTCCGCGGCATGTGGGATCTTCCTGGACCGGGGCACGAACCCGTGTCCCCTGTATCGGCAGGTGGACTCTCAACCACTGCGCCACCAGGGAAGCCCCTGTTTTTCATTCTTTAAGACAGGTTTTTTTTTGTTTGTTTGTTTTTTGCGGTACGCGGGCCTCTCACTGCTGTGGCCTCTCCCATTGCGGAGCACAGGCTCCGGACGTGCAGGCTTAGTGGCCATGGCTCACGGGCCTAGCCGCTCCGTGGCATGTGGGATCTTCCCGGACCGGGGCATGAACCCGTGTCCCCTGCATCGGCAGGCGGACTCGCAACCACTGCACCCGAGGGAAGCCCTAAGACAGGTTTTAAACACTGTTCCCGCTCCCTTTTTAGGACTTGGGCATTTTGCTCTTGTGTGGGAGCAGTGGTGTATCATTCTTAATTATATGTATTAGCGAAATTGAGGCTGTTTGTAAAGTGAGTTTTGACTGTTGATTTTTTTAGTTCTCAATTTTTATTTTTTTAATTTATTTTTTATTGAAGTAGAGTTGATTTACAGTGTTGTGTTGATTTCTGCTGTACAGCAAAGTGACTCAGTAATACACATATATACATTCTCTTTTATGTTCTCTTCCAGTATGGTTTATCCCAGGACATTGAATATAGTTCCCTGTGCTATACAGTAGGACCTTATTGTTTCAACTTTTATTAAAAGTTTCTCTGGGTAGAAGAATAAATCATGTGAGTTTTAGGGCTTAGACATTTCATCCCTAGGTATCACATCTTGGTTAGCTATTTGTGGTCTCAATATGTGTGTTTAAGAAGAATAAAAACCTAAGTTGTTAGTTGTGGTCTAAATTCCAGAACTAATGTATGTCTTGTGTGTTATCCAGTTTACCTTTTTTTTTTTTTCTTTTTTTTTTTTTTTCTGGCGTTATGCGGGCCTCTCACTGTCGTGGCCTCTCCCATTTGCGGAGCACAGGCTCCGGACGCGCAGGCTCAGCGGCCATGGCTCACGGGCCCAGCCGCTCCGCGGCACGCGGGATCTTCCCGAAACGGGGCACGAACCCGCGTTCCCCGCATCGGCAGGCGGACTCTCAAGCACTGCGCCACCAGGGAAGCCCCAGTTTACCTTTTAAAAAGTCTCTTCCTACAGGAACCATTGCAGTGGATAAACTTTAAATCCTCCATCTTTGGAACTCTGAGCTTGACACCTTTCTGGAATTCTCTCTCTTTTTTTTTTTTTAAATTTTATTTATTTATTTATGGCTGTGTTTGGTCTTCGTTTCTGTGCGAGGGCTTTCTCTAGTTGCGGCAAGCAGGGGCCACTCTTCATCGCGGTGCGCGGGCCTCTCACTATCGCGGCCTCTCTTGTTGCGGAGCACAGGCTTCAGACGCGCAGGCTCAGTAATTGTGGCTCACGGCCTAGTTGCTCCGCGGCATGTGGGATCTTCCCAGACTAGGGCTCAAACCCGTGTCCCCTGCATTGGCAGGCAGATTCTCAACCACTGCACCACCAGGGAAGCCCTGGAATTCTTTTTGATTTAAAAATCTGTGTTATCTGTGAACAGATCTGCTGATAATTATTAGGTTGCTGCTGGCGACAAGTGACAGATAGAATAGTAAGAAAAAGGCTACTTATTGCTTTATGTACACAGTGCACCTTTGCGCTCAGTCAGTATAGTCTGTAGGTAAGTTAGTCCTGGTAACCTAACCTTGGCATCCAGGCAAAATGATGCTGGGTGCCCCTCAGACTGGGTGGTAAACCCATGTGTCATTATGGGAAATGTAGTCATTGGCCGTGGTATCCCTGTATTCAGCTTTGCTGTGTAGTCATTGACAGTCAGATGCCACTGAGTTTTCACATCCTAAACACACGCACGTGACTGGCACCCAGATCAGAGGAGAGACAGTTAGGAGCATCCCAAGAAACCCCACCCTCCCTCCCTCATGCTCCCTTCTAGGTACCCCCGTCCTCCCCTCTCCCAAGAATTTGTCAACTCTCATTTCTTTTCACCTCTTCAGTCCTACCTCCAAAACTCCACAGAGCAGCAGGCCCACCATCAGAAAAACAACTTTCAATTCTTTAGGCACAAAGAAAACTTGGACACAAATTTTGGGGAGGGAAGCGTGATCATTGCCAGCCACAAAAAGTCTGAAAGGAAAAATAACTAAATAAAAAACGCTCAGCTTGAAAGTTTCCCAGCTTACTATCTGATCTTTTAGTTAATTTCAGAAGGAAAATGGGTCAAGCTTGAAAAAACAACTTACAGAGATCCTACTGGTAAAACAAGGTAAAGTATTTTTTTCTTCTTTTTGTAAAATGCTGAGGATTTGGCTTCTCAGGGTCTCTGTTTAGTGTTTGGCATAAACTTTGATATTTTCCTCACTGTAAACTCTGTCTTAAGTAAAGAATCTAGTTAAGCTGTTTTAACACCATTCTCCCAAGTAGATTAGGGTGAACCTAAAACTTTTGGGCCAAGCCTAATTTAAGCTGATAAAGCAGCAGAATAATTAACAGTACAGGTGACTTCCTTCTATTAAACCAGTTTTTATCTCTGAATTAGAATTTAAGAGAAATTGCTACTGGGTTTGAGGTAAAACTTACAGGCTTACACCTTGCTCATGGAAATGAAAATTGGTGGGGGGGGGGGAGTTTTGTAAAGCATTTCACACTGTGTACCAGTCGCCATAAAGACATATGTGGGTGAGGGCCGGGAGGGAGTTCCTGGGGGCTGGCGCCTGCGGTGTCTGAGACTATGCTAAGAAAACTATTTGGGATCAGATTTATGCATGAAAAATGTTCATCATAAATTTAAAAGACAAATAAATTGAAATTAACCTCAACATCTTAAAAATAGAGAAATAATTGTTACAGTGTATTCATTTGGCAAAATCTAAGCAGCCATCTCCACAACAGATCATGAAGACAACCCAGGAGTATCAGAAAAGTTAATAAGCTGATAACAAAATAAGATATTGGATATATGGTTTTTAAACCCTGCCAAATAATGTATAAGAAAAGGCTAGAAGGAAAACTGTAGCAAAATATTAATGGCAGCTATGTGACTAGCCTTTTTCTTCTATTTTCCAACTTTTCTGTTTAGTAATCTTGTATATTATAAATAACAGGAAAAAATGTGCTAAACGTTTACTTATGAAATACAAAAAAGGAGTAAAACAGAATGAGAAGATAGGAAAATGTAACTAAATTTAGTATCCAGGTTATATGATATAAATTCATTAACATAAAAACTTTTTGCTAAGTGATCAAATAAGAATAAAGTTTCTTCATAAGGAAATAAATACATCTATCGTCAGTGTGAAAGTACATGGACTTGCCAGTGATTTAAAGAACTTTTGACTATATCTACTAAAGTAGCAAAAAACAGTAATAAGGTTCAATGTTGGAGAGCCATGGGGAACATTAAGATATTCATAGCACTGGTAAACCCAAAGTAAGAAAGCTAAGCACACTACGCCCCATCCACAGAGTGGGCGGGGGTGCCTGTTACGTGCAGTGAACTGGGTGTGGTGAGGCCCGAGACTTGGGGAACATGACAGGTGCACACATACTTACACTTGTGAAAATGTAGCCAGAGCTTAGAGCCCAACCTACCACGATACAGCTTGGTTCTCCTTCCTGTAGAGTTAAGTTTATAACACAAAATAGAGCCCTTAACACTAGTTAGTGTGAAGAGTACATGTTGGTTGGGGCTGTGCGCCTGCCCCTGTCCTCTCTCCCTTCCGGCACTTCTTCATCAGGGATGTGCCTCAGAGTCACTTGGGGATTTGTTTCCAAATACACAGGATTCGGTCTCACCTCCGGAGAGTCTGCTTCAGTAGTCGGGAGTGGCCTCAGGTCTCCCAGATTCCACACTGTGTGGCCTGTTTACAGCACGGTCTTCCGCATCCGTCCATACGTAGGGCTGCCCTGCAGTCTCCGGAGAGCGCCTGTGTGAAACATTAACATTGCACACCCGAATGTCAAGCTTTGAAGAATGAATCTCAGTACTTTACAGTACTATTGCATGTACAGAACAGTTAAATTGCAGCTAGAAAATCCTTTGTTCCATTGTCTCATTCATGGAAAAGGGTATGGAATTGATTTGGGGAGAGTAAAGATGTGCCGGCTCTGTGCCCCTGTATCGACATTCAGGAGAGAGCTGAGCTCCCCTTCTGTCGCCCTGCCTACCTCTTGGAGTTGGTTGACTAGAGGGAAGAAAGTAAAACAGGCTTTCCTTATAACAAAGACTAAAAATGGATTAACTCAACCAGAATCAGAATTCTAAAGCTATAAGAGGCTTTTAAGACAACAATCAGATGGACATCTCTCCTCTCTGAGTCCCTCTGAGATGACTGGAGCTCTCAGGGGGCGCTCTTGTTTTACTGTTCTTATAAATACGTACCTATTTTATGGCTCCATACTGCTTATTTAATTCATCGTAACCACTGTAATGATGCTCCTCTTTTTGCTTCCTTTATTCCTAGTGTGTTGGGGATGGGACCTTCAGTGCTTTTCCCAGCACTGTCTTCTTCAGTCTTTAGGACTCTAACCCTAGGAGGCAGCAGAGAGAACTGGGCCAGAAGGTGTTTTGTCACTTGCGAGTTATTGACTGATCAGAATGGCTTGTTGGTTGGCTTCTTGCTACTAACAGGAATGTGGGTAGCTGTGAGTCGTCCTGGTAGTCTGGTTGATTTTCATAGGTTCATTTTTGATGTATTTGCACTTTAGAATTTGGGTGCAATACTAAAAGATCTACAATTTACAGAAAGTTTTTTTTTTTTTAACCAGATTAAATTCTGACACTTTTTAATAGAAATGTGGCAAGGTCCAAGCCTCAAGGACAACCAGATAAAAAGTACGAGGTTTCCTCCAAGGAGTACCTCTTACCCTCAGTCTTACTGTAGGGAGACAGATGTCGGATGTGGATGCTTTTCTTTCTTTCTCTGGAGCCATCCAGATGTCTTCCTTCTTTTAAATCAACATTGTTTGCTTCTTTATCTTCATCTCTAACCGCTGCTTTTTTCTGTTGAAGGGCTAAGAGTGAGGAGGAAATTCCCTCATACACCCTTCCCCCTTTAAACAACATGGTTGTTCCAGTAACTGGATTGTCAGTACCGGGTTCCCTGAAACAAATAGCTAGTCAGGAATAAAGCTGTGAGGGGGGACCAGGAGCCACTCACCCCACTTGTTCTTTTAGGGACCATTTTCCCTTTAGACAGGATCTCACGCATGCAAAGCAGAGTACTTAACCTAAATTTATTAATTCCTCAGTTAAACAGGAAGGTCCTACTTTCATAAATTGTGTAGTTGAGGTGACATCTTTTTTTTAATTTTTTTTTTAATTTTTTTTTGAGGTGACATCTTTTAAAATCTAAACTATAAATAACCATCTCAGTGGTTTACATTATGCAGGATATCCTTTGGAATTTGTACAGGGGCTGGATTTGCACTGACTGCTTAATCGCCTTTAAAGCTGTGATCGCCCGCTGTGCTGCTCACGCAAATTTATGATCCAAACTGAAGTGTTTTGAGTAAATGATTTGAAAGCTGATTTGAAAGGCAGCTCAAGTGATGAGCAGGCCCTCTGTTTCGATGTAGAGAGTTAGATGTAGGAGGCAGTGGTTTTCTCTGATAATTTTTAGAAGCTGTGGGAAAGCACAGTTGGCTTTTTTGATACAGATCTTTATTGCGTGGTGTTCCTGGCCGCTATCTTTAGCACATTTGCATGCTTTGCATCTGTAAGGTGCTGGTTATACACCCAAAACCTAAGAAGTCTCCTCTTCAGCACTAATGCTTTTGTTTTTTCTTGTCTGCCTGAACAGAACTTGGGAAACTGTGAAACGGACAACGAGGAAAGGCCAGTCGGCTGATGGTATGAGTGCAAACCTGTTAGAACTCTCCCGAAAGGAAGTCCCACACAGGACTAGGAGACTGGGGGTAGGAGGGTTTTTTACCGTAACCAAGACCTCAGAGCAGGGTTATCTTCAAGTATGATCTTTTATCTTTAACTCTGGTGTTCTGTTTTGCAACACTGTAACTAAATCAAGCTTTCTTTATAAATAACTTCCGTTTCCTGTTACCTAAGCTCAGAACAGTGTTTTTGAGGGGAAGATGTCATCATACTTAAGGCCAAACTTAACTCAGTATAATTTGAAGCCACATACTGTATCTAGATGTGTTATGACTTCTAGAAATCTTTTGCGTTCTGGTCAGAGGATCTGGGTGAGAGCCTTTCGTTTGGAAAACTTATTTGGCATGACTTGGCGCTTTCCGACCGCTTGCTTTTATAAGTTGATGAGGAAACAACTTAGGAAAAGACTGTTCGTTCAGTTCACTTTCCCTTCCAGGCCTGGATGCTTTGCCTGTAAAGATCCCAGAAACAGTCCTGAAAACCACCTCTGGTCTAGGGGAAGTTGGGCAATAAGTCTTCCTTGTTTTTCCCTTTTATTTTTCCGTTTTGTTCTGTGTTCTGTTTTTCCTGGAAGTGGAGCAGCCGCCGCAGCTGCTATGTTTTCCTACCGGGAAAGCGAGAGGAGCCGATGGTCCCCCTGGGCAGTTGTGTTTTCCAGAATCCAGTGGTTTTTGGTTTTGGTTTGGTTTGAAGCCCAAGTAAACTTGGGAGAAAGGGTCTTTTATCCTAAAACAATGAAGTTCAGTCTAGTTAGCATATACGACAAACGTTGGAACTTATTTATTGCTTAAAGGAAATAGAAGAGCACAGAGATCAATGTAACTTCGGCAGCGGCCTGGCTGCAGCAGGGCGAGAAATGATGTCTGTAGAGGTTCGTGTAGACCAAAATTTGTCCTGGACCCTGGGCTAAATGTTCACTTCTACTTTCAATTTTATTTTAAAGAAATTGTGGCAATAAAAACAAGCTTTTTATAAAAAGAAAAATTAAATAATATGGAAGTGTGATTATTTTTTCCTTGCTTTTTTAATGAGAATAACTTCCAAAGTTAACTGCCAGTATTGTAGCTTAAATTAACTTCCTATTGCTAATGGCAAATACAAGACAGATTTCAGCTGCAGCATTTCTTAAAATGTGGGCTTTTATCAATAGTTAGATTGCTGTACACAAATTCCTGGCGTTCCTGACCTTTCATTGGGGTTTCCTGGTTTTATTTCCTGCTGGCAGGTGTGGCGGTCATCCCCGTGCTGCAAAGAACCCTTCACTATGAATGCATCATTCTGGTGAAGCAGTTCCGACCCCCGATGGGGGGCTACTGCCTAGAATTCCCTGCCGGTGAGTAACGGAACACCGGGGAGTAGAATGGCCCCTCGGGACTGTTGAACTGAGCCAGGGCAGAGCCCGAGAACGGCAGAGCTTAGTCGTTGAACACCTTTTCATCTGTCCGTGCGGTTTTAAGTAGAACAAAACCACTTCTGCAGTGAGGCACCTCCAGGCCACACTCCAGTGATCCTCTAATCCGTAGCGGTGTCACAGCTCACCTTTTCAGGCCCTCCTCTTTGCAGCGTGCTTTCTAGCCTCTTTTGAGTCATTGGTTTTTCCTAATTTGTCAAGGTATTTCATTTTCCATCACTAATGATCTGCCTCTGGCAAATTTACAGTAATAACTAGGCCCAGCTCTTAACTCCAGAAACTGTGAACGGGAAAGAACCATGGTCCTCCTGTATGTATACAGGCCAAGGAAATCATCTTAATTTCAACTAGAATATTTTTTCAGTTGTACAGGAAGTATCTAGAATGCAGTGCATCCTTATAGCACTTAATTGGCTTGTTCCCATCTGAAGAGGTTAGATCTCAGTTATCATTAGTGGTTTAAGTTCTGTATTTTCAAAGTCCATCCCATAGTAACACATAAGTAATAGCTTTATTTTCTTTCTCACTTCCTTGCCATTTCACTGAAGAAATTAATAACTTTAAAAGTAATTGAGGGCTTCCCTGGTGGTCCAGTGGTTAAGACTCTGAGCTTCCACTGCAGGGGGCGCAGGTTCAATCCCTGGTCGGGAAACTAAGATCCCACATGCCGCGTGGTGTGGCCCAAAAAAAAACAAAAAAGTAATTGAATAGCCCATGTTTCACTTCTTCTTTGCATCCTGTAAATTCCTTTCAGGAGAAAGGATCTGCGATGCTGCTGGCCTCCTCCCACTAGGCCCGTTTACTCCCTCCTCACAGTGAACTAGTGTTACCCACAGTCCCCTCCCCCCTGCTTCCCTCCTTTCCGATCTTCTCTTCTCCCTCCCAGGTGACGTTTATCCTAGCACTGCATTCCAGGGCCCTCCATATGGCCCTGAGGGCGGAAGGCAAGATGGGAAACACTGTCCCCAGCTCGCATGTGTGGAAACAAATGAAAGCACAGGCTTCCTGTGCTGTAGTCACATGACTAGTCTAAAACCGGGGCCAGTTGGCCACCACCAAGCCACTTACCCACCCAGGAGGTCCGTGCTGTACAAGCTTGATGCTGAGATGCTCACAAAAACATCTAGGTCTAAACCCGAGGAACAGAACCTACTAAATCTGCCAGGGGTGTTCTTTTGTCTTTAATTTTTCTATAAAAGATCAAAACCTGAATCAGTTTTATCTGCACGCCCACTTTTCCCAAACCTCTTGCTTGATTATTCACACGTAGCTCGGCAGCTTGTGTGTTAGAAGAAGGGGGCTCCCTGTCCCACCTCTCACATGACTGGGACTTGCAGGTCTCATCGATGATGACGAAAGCCCAGAAGCAGCTGCTCTTCGGGAGCTCGAGGAAGAAACTGGCTACAAGGGCGATGTTGCTGAATGTTCCCCAGGTTCGTGCTGCTTCCCATGTGTGTGCTTAGGGACAAACTCCTGAAAATTAGCCAAGCAGTTGATTGTTCTGGATGTGAGAGGGCTGATTCTTTGGGTGTTCTTTATAGTCAGGGATTTATTTATTAGCTAATTCACTGAAGAGAAATCCTCGATGAGGGTTGGTCACCTGAGAGTGAACCTCCCTGCCCCATGAGAGCACGGCTGAGCATAAAGGGCTGAAGTTGGAGAATTATGAGATTAGGGTGCCTTTCGGGGTTCCCACATTCTAAGCTTTATTACGTACTCATCTCGTCCGTATGCCACGCTCCTCACTAGAAGACTTTCTTGATGTGGTGAAAGGATATTACCGCATCTAACCCCTCAGATTTACCAAAATTTCCTCAGGAACTCTGGGGAAAAAATATGAGTACTAAGTACACATGTGCTCTGCAGACCTACAGCGTATATACTAAGGGAATAGGAGAAACCAGTTCCCCTGCATAACTTCTACATAAACTATGAGTTACAAGCCCACTCTTCCTCCAAAGACATTTAACTGATGAAACGAATGACACCTGACTAGTGTCTGGAAAGGTGATCTGCTGCTTTTCTCCCCAGCTGTCTGTATGGATCCAGGTTTGTCAAACTGTACCACACATATGGTAACCGTAACTATCAATGGAGACGATGCTGAAAACGTAAGGCCTAAGCCAAAGCCAGGTAAGCATGTGTTGGCTACGTTTACAGTGGTTGCATTGTATTAAATTTCTTTTAACTTGCTACTAGTTTGATTTTTGTTAATAGAATAATGGTCTTTCAGAGATGCTTCATTGGTACTCTTGGCTATTTTCCTAATCTTATGTATTTCAGCATTTTTCTCATAGAACTTTATTGATTTTTATGCTCTTTATATAAAATGTGCAATTACAAATTTCCATACTTTCTATATGGAGTTTATTCCCACTTAGTAATAAGGACTATAGGCCTTAAATCGTAAACAGTGAAAATCTTCAAAATCACTCTGATTTCTGTCTCCATCAATATTTTAAGAATGGCAGAAGTGCTACAGCACAGCACCATATTAACTGTTTTTGTTGAGTTCCATATTTAGTGAAGCTTTGGGGAAATTCTTTGCTCCATATTTCTTAGCAAGTTTGGATTCAGAGGCTTTAATGCTCTCGCAGCCCCACTAAAAGGTGGTGGTGACACAGACACCACTGTAAATTATGTGTTGGAGTGGAGGTCTTCCATTTCCCGTCCCTTTTAGTTGTTCCTGAGTGTTCCAGTTTCACACTGCAGCTAATTTTAAATTAGTTTTAAAACTAGCCAGTTTTCAAACTAGCGAATATAACATGCTGAGGAAGAGTTTGGCAGTTCCTCAGAAGAGTTAAAGATGGAATTAGCAGGTGACCCAGCAATTCCACTCCTAGGTAAATACCCAGAAGAATTGAAAGCAGGGCCTCAAACAGATACTTGGATGCCAGTGTTCATTCAGCATCATTCACAATACCCAAAAGGTGGAACAACCCAAGTGTCCATTAACAGATGGATAAACAAAATGTGGCCTGTTCTTACAATGGAATATTATTCAGCCATAAAGCAACGAGGCATCCTGATACATGAAGCTTGAAAACATCTTGCTCAGTGAAATTAAGCCAGACACAGGAGGGCAGATATTGTGTGATTCCACAAATGTGAGATACCTAAAATCACTACATTCATAGAGACAGAAGGTAGAATAGAGGTCACCGAGGATAGGGAATTCTTGTTCAGCGGGTACCACCTTTCTGTTTTGGATGATGAAAAAGTTCCAGAGATGCGTAGTGCTGATGATTGCACAACAATGTGACTATATTTAATGCCACTGAATTTGTACCTTCAAAAATGGTTGAATTGGTAAATTTTGTTATGTATATTTTAACAAAGTTTAAAAATACATATATGCATATCACAGAATATGCTTTAAACTTGGCCATTAAAACATTTGATTTGGAGAACAATAACTTTGTACTGTTGGAATTGTTTTACCACGTGTATAAATTAAATTAGTAGAGACCCAGGTTTCTGTTAAACTCTTATAGCCTTTTTGATAACGTCTTGCACAAAGGCCTTGCAGTGTCTGACCATTCCGGGCCTTGCTGAGATGTCCCCCTTCTGTTTGTTTTCAGGAGATGGAGGTACGTGTCCCACTCGGGGGCTGGCCTTGAGTGCCGTGTGGTGCAGCGGGAGCGGCCATGGCATTGTGATTTGCTCAGTTGGGCTCGCCTGGTGTCCGGCTTTATTTTCACTTGCACTTTGTTTGTTTAGAATTTGTGGAAGTGATTTCCTTACCAAAGGATGACCTGCTGAAGAGAATAGATGGTAAGCATTCTTGATTACCCCACTTTCTTTTTCCCCATCCCCACCAACGGGGTACTAAATATAATTCTGTTTCTTCCTCATTATACTCAAATACCTAGAAACTGTTATAAGACTGCAGTTGACCTACATAATAAGTTTCCTTTCCAGGTGGCACAGAGTTTGAAAATAAGAGCAAAACATTCCATGTCAAGTGAAAGCTTTCATTAGGGGCTTTTTTAATCCTGCACAACAGTCAAGATATAGGCCTGCTGATTAGCCAGAACTATTCTATACCTTAAATCTTTAACCCCTGCCATGCAAAGGTATAGTAAATAATCTCTTAACTGATCCTCAAATATGCCAGTATGTTGGACGGTTCTTTGTGTGGGGTCTAAGTTAAAGGAGATTTTAACAAATATTTAGGCATCTAATATATACAGTGTGATAAGCTGATATAATGAACTAACTAGCAGTGTGCCCCTTAGTAAACTACTTGTCATGTAGCTACATGTGGTTCCCGGTCAGCCCGTCTCATAGGACTTAGTAAAAATTAGTAAGGTTCCATGGACCGATGTCCTCCAGTAACCCTACACG